CTGTATCATCTGTGGGGTGGAGTAGAGGTTGTCCTGTACCTAATGTGCATTGTTACCTTGAGTTGCTATATGAGAATTAGTAGCCCTTTAATGCACCTCTATGGAGACCTCTGTGAGCTATATTTAGATATTTCCCAGCATAACCACTGAGTAGGGAGAGGCAAAAAGACATTTTTGGGAGGTCTGACCCTATGATTGGACATGATCTGTATGAGGCCAGAGGGGTTACAAGTCCTGGACTGCAGGTTAAACGTACAAGTGCCCATATCCCCCTGTAAATCTGCCATAAGTAGTCTACCCAATATGTTGGGTTGGGGGTGGGGCTTCCCATAGATTTCTTGACATTGTGTTAAGCGTACTGGAACATGTAAGCTGTCCATCAGGTATCACTAGGTCTTGTAACACCCCTGGACCACTTTTATTTCCAGTCATTCATTTCTGAAACACAACTTTTTCTCAACAATTATTTGTTGGAAATACGTACTCTGATGCCCTTTGAATGTCTTGCCATTTCGTTGTTAGGAGACAGTAGTATCTCATTTCTCTAACGCAACACAGGGCTGGCTCCACCCCACAAGAGTCCAACCAATTCATTCCCTATGACTAAGACCCATCATTGGGAGATGCAATCAAAACCCCTAGCATCCCAGCTATTCATTATTAATAGAAGAATATTTAGTCATTAAAAGCACCGTAAGAATTCCCAAATACTACTCAGCTTGCTTTCTATTCAATTCTGGGCCCAGTCCACTGTCCATCTATAGTGTCTGTATGAGGTCTATGTACCAATGGATTTCTGAGTTGTTCATCCAACAGTATGTCATAGTCTAGACAACAAGCTTCTTTCATCCACTTGGTTTTCCTATGTAAATACTATGTAGATAAGCCAGACCCTTTTGAGTATGACTCTTGTTTACAGGAGTCCACAGTGTTCCAGTACAAAGTAATCTGCAAATAGAAATGTCTGGAGGGCCTATCATCTTTAAGGATCCACATTTGGACTTTGCCACTGAACATCTTCCATCACAGTAGCAAATATGTTTGTTTAAGGAAAATCTCCCTGTTTTCTGCCTCTCTTGATACAAACAAGGAGGATCATTGGGTGAATTATCTATTGTTACCTCTTTCAAAGAACTTTGTGTGATTTTAACGTATGCATGTGAATCACCTTGTTGGAAGAGAGCCTTTAAAGGTGACCTTTTGCTCTACCAAATCAAATGTTGGGTTTTTGTTAATAGTCAACAAACAATAAACACAGTGGGATTATATATTGTCTACACGTTTCTGTGAATTGTGTGCCAGTAACAATATCGTTTGCTGAAGAATGCTGTTTGAAAAAGCCTCCTTGGTTTCTTCTCGCGCCTTCACAGAGATGTTGCTGATGCTTGCGTAAACTATTTATATAAAAACTTTGTAAGGATGGGAAAATAGGCAAATGGGTTGGTCAATACTGATATTTTTTAGTTGCCTGTTTGTTTCTTAATAATAATAATAAGGCTTGAGATTTTCCCTCAAATATTTGGTATCTTCCTTTCATTTAACTGTCATAAGAATTGATCTTTCAAAAAGCTATGAAAAATTAAGTTATCTCCAGCCTGAGTCTATTTTTGTGTGCATTTGGCCTAATTCAGCTGTTCTTCCCATCTTTGTTTTCTCAGGTATCATTTCTTCTTCCTCACAGAACCCATTGTAGTCTGTATTGACAGAATATGAATGATGTTTCCTCTGTGATTAAAGGAGAAAAGCATTTATATTTCTCATCTGTCCATTTTCCACCTTCCAGTTCATCCGTGCTTGCTCTCAGAATGATCAGGCTTAGCTGAATCTCTCACCAAACTTTCTGCCAATTGTTTTTCCTTCTATTGCTTCTTGTTCTTTTATGAGGGTCTCTCACTCATAATCTTCTACCATCTTCTTCCGTTAAGAGTTTGCAAATTAATTTATATTCTAAACCAATATTGCTCTTGGCTACTATATATCTCTGCTTGGTGAGGAGATCAGATGTTTCCTGGCTGAGGTGGTTTCTAGGCTTTTTTGGTTTCAACATTGATGTGCATCAGTTAAACTTCCCAAGGAAATTTTGACAGTTTTTGCCAAGATTCGTTTTTTTTTTATCCATTTCATATGGGGGGAGGGGGAGGGGAGGAATCAATGAATTATTTAAATAGGCCACCGAAGTCAAAAAGGTTTTTGAAAGTAAGAGAGGTAGAGGAAAAATTGGGAAGAGAAATGAGAGTGATGCAAGGAAATCATGAAATAAAGAGGCAACAGCTTGGGAAAGGAGACACAAAAAATACTGAAGAAAACAACACATTAAAAAACAGAATAGGCCAAATGGTAGAAAAGGCACAAAAATCCAATGAAGAGAAGAATGCCCTTAAAAAGTAAAATTGGCCAAATGGAAAAAAGATATACCAAAAAAGAAAAAAGAAGAAAAAGAGAAAAGAGTGCTTGTGGTTGCTCATAGACCAGAGCACAGGCCAAGAGAGTAGTAAACACCTCTCCTTAGATTATAGCACCTTGGAAGAACTGAGCTAAATATGATGGAATGATTAAAAAAAAAAACAACTAAGGTATGAGAAAGAAGAATGCACTGGGAGAAGGAGAAAGGGAAAGACAGAATAGGGTAAATTATCTGACATAAAGGCCCAAAAGAGATTTTACAGTGGAGGGGAAAATGGGGGAGGGGGAGCATGTGAATTTTACTCTCATTGGAATTGACTCAAAAAGGGAATAACATAAACACTCAGTTGGGTATGGAAATCTATCTTACCATATAGGAAAATAGAAGAGGAGAGGATGAGAGAGAATGGCAGGGGTGTTGCTGATAGAAGGGAGGGCAGATTGGGGGAGATAAAAGTCAAAAGTAAAACACTTTTGAGAATGGATAGGGTGAAAGGAGAGAGAGAGAGAGAGAGAGAAACAGGGTAGATGGTAGGATAAATAGGATGGATTGAAATACATAGTTGGTAATCATTACTGTGAAAAAAGTCCTTTCAGCAAGTTTCTCTATAAAGACCTCGTTTCTCAAATATAGAGAAAGCTGAGTAAAAATTATAGAAATAAGAGCCATTCTTCAGTTGATAGATGATCAAAGGATATGAACAGGCAATTTTCAGACAAAGTAATCAAAGCTATCTATAGTCATATAAAATGTTCTAAATCACTATTAATTAGAGAAATGCAAATTAAAACAACTCTGAGCTACCACCACACATCTATCAGATTGACTAATATGACAGAAAAGGAAAATGACAAATGTTGGAGGGGATGTGGGAAAATTAAAACACTAATGCACTGTTGGTGAAGTTGTATACTGATTGTACCATTCTGGAGAGCAATTTGGAACTATGCCCAAAGGGCTATAAAACTATGCATACGCTTTGAGCAACCAATACCACTACTAGGTCTGTATGTCAAAGAGATAAGAAAACAAAAAGGAAAAGGACCTGCATGTACAAAAATATTTATAGCAGCTCTCTTGGTGGTGACAAAGAATCAGAAATTGAGGGGATGTCCATCAATGGGGAAATGGCTGAATAAATTATTGTATATGATTGTGGTGGAATACTATTGTGCTATCAGAAATGATGAGCAGGATGCTCTCAGAAAAACCTGGAAAGACTTACATGAACTCATGCAAAGTGAAATGAGCAGAACCAGGAGAACACTGTACACAGTAACAGCAATATTGTATAATGATCTGCTATGAATAACTTAGTTATTCTCAGCAATACAATGATCCGAGACAATTCTGAAGGACCTGTCATGAAAGGTGCTATCCAGAGAAAGAACTGGTGGAACTTAAATGCAGATCAAAGATACTTTTTCTTTACTTTCTTTATTTTTCTTGATTTTTTATGGTCTGTTTTCTTTCGCTGAATGGAAATATGTTTTGCATGACTACACATGTAAAACCTATGTCAAATTGCTTGCCTTCTCAATGAGGGGAGGAAGGGACAGGGAGAGAATTTGGAACTCAAAATTTAAAAAAAGAATGTTAAAATTTTTTTACATGTAATTGGGAAAAAATAAAATATTAAAGTAAAAAAAAATTCTAAATTTGTCTCTTTAGTGCACCCAGAGTATAGGGTCATCTAGTTATAGCAAGAATCAGCTTGGCCCTTTTGGTCACACTCAGTGCTGTTCTCAAAGTGGGTCATCTTGACCTCTGCTCTCTAGCCTGAAATCCCTGTCCCCTCCAGGAGGAGCAGCCTCGCAAACTGGTTCATCTTCCAGCAGGCTTGGCCTAAGCTTTTTTTTTTTTTCTGGGAGATATCATTGAGCTGAGTTGAGAATTCTGAAGTAAGGTCCAACGTACTTTCCCCTACCCGTTGCTTTGCAAATGAGTGTCTATGTGAGTGTGTTTGTAGGTTTGGGAGTGCCCATAAGTCCCCTGAGTTTGGGCATTGCTAATCTGATAGGATGAATCATTACTCACATTTGGATAGTGTTTTGAGGTCTGTAAACCACTTTACATATATTCTCTTACTTAATCTTCCCAGCAACTCTGAGGTAAGTACTATCATTATAGTCACTTAACAGATGAAGAAACTGAAGCTCAGAGAGGTTAATTGATTTCCCCAGGGTCACACAATGTCTGAGTCAGGATTTTAATCCAGACCTTTTTGCCTCAGTGCTCAGGGACCCATCTATTACTGGACTATCCACTGTCCCCTACTTCCTTTCTTGTTTTTTGTCCTTTGTTCTTGAAGAGGACCATGACATCAGGGAGGTGATGCCGTAACATGCAAGTGAATTGTATTTAATTGAGGGAGGGCTGTGCACCTCTCTCACCAGCCTCATTTTCTCCTTCAGAGCCATCTGGGTCCGATGGCTCTTCCCCTCCCAGACTTCCTTTCTAAGATCATCCTAAAGGATGTGGTGTTCTGGCAAGATGGCAACCCTTTAATGGTGATGGAGTAGGGAAAGGATGAGAAGGAAATGAAAACATTTTTCTTTGTCATGATTAGTGAAATAATTTGTTGTATATTTTCCAGAATATTGTAGAAAAAATGTACACCAGTCATGAAGATATTGGGTATGATTTTGAAGATGGACCAAGAGAAAAGAAGACACATCAACCTAACCCCAACGTCGATGGAGGATGGGCTTGGATGATTGTCCTTTCCTCTTTTGTGGTGCATATCCTCATCATGGGGTCGCAGATGGCACTAGGTGTGCTGAACATAGAGTGGCTTGAAGAATTCCATCAAAGTCGAGGCTTGACTGCCTGGGTTAGCTCCCTCAGCATGGGGATCACGCTCATCGTCGGTATGTCTGATAGGGTCATGGAAACACTATATAAGCAGACATAATATGGAAATTTTTTTTTTTTTGGCAGTTGGGGTTGAGTGACTTGCCCAACGTCACACAGTTAGTAAGTGTCAAGTGTTTGGTCTGAGGCCATATTTGAACTCAGGTCTTCCTGACTTCAGGGCCTGTGCTATATCCACTGAGCCACCTAGCTACACCAAAATTCTCCTTTTCCCCTTACCAGCTTCCTGACCCCATTTGTATTTTTCTTGGCAAAGATACTGGAGTGGTTTGCCATTTCCTTCTCTAGTTCATTTTACAGATGAAGAAACTGAGGCAAACAGGGGTAAGTGACTTCCCCAGGGTCACACAGCTAGTAAGCGTCTGAGGCCAGATGAGTTTTCCTAACTCCAGGCTTGGAGTTTATCCACTGCACCACCTAGCTGCCTCTAATTTACCAGAGGAGTTAGAGAGAAGGCAGGGGTTGAAAGTAGTCTCTGTAGGTGTATGCATATAATACACAAACTACATACCAGTCACATTCTAACTGACTTCTGATCCACTTACCTGTTTTCCCCCCATGTGACTGAGGTCTTTGGTATAGTTTCATCAAAAAAATAGTTATGAGGTTATGGTAAGACCCATATTGGCTGAGCCATATAGTTATTTCTTTTTTTTTTATGATTTTTCCACATCTTTTGTCTCATTTCAGAAGTGAGTCCCTTAGGGATCATTGTCCTTATTTTACAGATGGAATGACTGAGTCTTCAGAGCTAAATGACTTGGCCATTCTCACCAAGCTAGTGTGTGTCAGAAAATTTGAGTCTTGGGGATTCGGGTCTTCCCATCTTCAATTCTCCAAGATGCTTCTCTGTGAATGCATGCATGCATTTATTAAGTAGCACGGAAACCACTGTCCTAAGCCCTGGGGATGTAAATGGAAAAAAACCAACAACAACAACAGCCCCCGCTCTCAGAAAGCTCACATTCTAACAGGTAGAAATCACAGATAACAGAAAATTCAGCTGCAGGGCAGATCGGTCAGGCTGGCAAGGGCAGCTTCAGTAGGGTGGTTGGGGAGGAGAAGGCAAGGAGGAGGACATGGAGAGGATAGAGGGAAGATGGTAAGGACGGAGGATGTTAGGATGCAGGGCCAGGGCTAATGGTGAAGCCTGCTGGTCCTCTACTTTCCCAGAAACGAATATTTCAATGACTTCAAATGTCAGGAATAGTCAAACAAACCAGACTAGGTCCCAACAACCCCAGGACCACAGGAAAGGCCAGGAGAGAGGGTACCTGGACGGTGGCCCATATTCCTGACATCTGGCCAGTCTGGAGAGGCCCTCAATATATTATCAGTGTTGTTGTTATTTTTTTTCAATTCCAGATATAAAAAACACCAATTCTGAAAGCTTAATTTATAAAATGTTTATAAGAAGCACTAAACTTAAATTATGTCTATTCCAAAGAAGGTATTTTTACTTTCCCAGTTATTTCAGTAATAGCAGCTGGACCAGATAACCTCTAAGATTTCATCCAGTTCAAATTCTATAATTCTATGAAGTTAATTTAATTACTTTCAATAATATGCTGATTTTATCTAGATGTTAACATGGTATTTTTCATAGGTTGAGCTAGAAGACCACAGAAATCACATCATCTCACCCCATCATTTTACAAATGAGGAAATGGAGGCCCAGAGAAGTTCTTCTTCTCTGAGTGACTTCTACAGAGGTCAGGAAATTTAAACTCAAGTCTCAGATACTTTCTAGCTGTGTGACCCTGGGCAAGTCACATAACCTTTGCCTCAGTTTCTTCATCTGTAAAATGGGAATGATAGCACCTTCCTCATTGGATTGTAGTGAGAATAAAATGAGATAGTATGGGTGAAATTCTTTGCTAACCTGAAAGTGCTAGCAAATGCTAGTTGTTGTTGTTATAGATAACAAGTATCAGAATCATGATTTGAACCCGGGACTTCTGACACCCAAGCCAGAATTCATTGTACCATATAGTGATTTGGTGCCCCGAGTTTGGGCACCAGAAACAACAACGTCAGAGTCAGTTCAAGTCACCTCCTTTTCATGGAATAAAAAGAAAAAAACAACCATGGGTGGGTGGGGCTGGGATTTCACTTATTTGTCAATTGATTTAAAGGGCCTCCTAAGTCCTTTCCAATTGTGTGATGTTGTGAGTGGTCAAACCACAGGTAAGAAGTTATTCCTTTTTTTCCTTCTTTTTCTTTTTGGTAAGGCAGTTGGGGTTAAGTGACTTGCCCAGGGTCACACAGCTAGTAACTGTCAAGTGTCTAAGGCCAGATTTGAACTCAGGTCTTCCTGACTCAAAGGACAGAGTTCTTTCCACTGTACCACCTAGCTGCCCCAGGAAGTTATTCCTAAAGCATTTTGCCAGAGTTAAAATAAAGAATAATCTTATTTCCTAGGATCATAGATTTAGTGACCTTATGGCTTTTGGAGGTCATTTAGGTCAGCCACCCCCATCACACAGTTGAGGACCATGAGAGCCAGAGAGAGTCATCATATCGCCTCAGGTTATACAGTTAGCTGGCTAGCTAGGCAGCAGATCCTGATTTGAACTCGGGTCTCCTTATTTTAGAAGTAGCACGCCTCCCCCTGCATCAGACAACACATACGTGCTGCTGCTCTAGGCTCTGGTGGGCTGCTTTCACCTGTAAGGGGTTAAGCTGACTCCTGTCCATTCAACCCCATCAGGCACAAAACCAGGGTCCTCCTGTCACAGGGGAAAAGAATGAGGTTGAGCAGCAAATCCCGGGTCATAATTGGCCTGATTTTGTCCTGTCACTGAAGTCTGGGAAGTCAACCTTTGGGTCTGAAACATTGAGAACCAAGTTGATAAACTTTTCCATTTTATAGCTGGTGGAGTACCAAACTCTCACTGCCTAATTCTGGCGAGTCTGTGTTTGTGTCCTTAGGAAGAAAATGGGACCAAGGAAAGACTCCTCATTCATCACTTCCTCATTCAGCCAGCATTCCTTTAGCTGGCAGAACAGACAGGCTACACACTAGGCCCAATCTTTGGGGTACAAAGACAAAATGAAAGACAGAATAAAGAGGAGGGAGGACATGCCGTGGGCTGGGTTTTTTTCTTCCCTCCTCATAAGGAACTCTAACACCCTACTTTGTTCTTTACAAACACTCTAAGATGGGGCAGTGGGAACCTGCGTTCAGATTTCAGATCTTGTCCCGACGATCACTGCAGGGTCACTCTGGGAGGTCCTCTACCAGTCCTGGAGTAAGACTCAGAAGAGTGATATTTGGAGTCAAACTAGCATTTATAGAACACTTTAGGTTTACAAAGTGCTTTCCTCATTTTATCCTTAACTTATTTTGTCCTCACAACATCTGGGAGGTAGATGCTGTTATTATGCCCACTTTTATGGATGAGGAAACTAAGGCAAATAATTAACTGACTTGCCCAGAGCCACACAGCTAGCAAGTGTCTGAGTCTGAATTTGAACTTAGGTCTTCCTGCCTCCAGGTCCAGAGCTCTATCCACTGTACCACCTAGCCAGAAAGAGTCTTAGAGGTCATCTAGTAAAGTCCAAGCCTTTCCTTTTACAGATGAGGAAACTGAGGCAAACAGGGTTAAGTGACTTGCCCAGGGCCTCATAGCTAGTAGGTATCTGAGCCTGGACTTGAATTCAGGTCTTCCTGCCTCCAGGCCCAGAGCTCCATGCACTGTGCCACCTAGCCAGAAAGTCTTAGAGGTCATCTAGTGAAGTCCAATTTTATGGATGAGGAAACTGAGACCCGGACAGGTTAAAGGACTTGCCTTGGGTCATACAGGTAATGAATGTCAGGGGTAGAATTTGAACCCAGCTCCATCAGCTTCACAGGCAGTATTATTTCCCCTGCATTGTAGCACCTTCCTTAAATCTTCTAGCCTTGCTGTGTGAACAAGTGGCTCTTCTGCCACAAGATGCCACAAGTGGCATCTTCTGCCACTCCCACCATGTCTCAGGTCATTCTTTGGTGAATGGAGCCATTGGTCTCAGCTAGCCAGACATGTATTGAGCATTGCTTCCAATGAGAATGGAAAATATTTTAAAAGAGGATAAGAAAAAATGCTTCCAAATCCCCATGTGGATGAGGTTGATTTGATTTTTCAGTTAAGTCAATGAGCATTTATTAAGCTCCTACTATGTGCAGTCATGGTACTAAAGCACTGGAGATACAAAAAGAGACAAAAAGATACCCCTGCCCTGTAGGAATTCACAGTCTAACAGAGGGGACAGACAGGCGAGCAACTGTGTACAAAGGAGATATAGACGGGAGAAATCAGAGGTGATCAACAGAGGGAAAGCACTGGCATTTAAGAGGACGAGGAAAGCTTATTGAAGAAGCGGGGATTTTAGCTGAAGGGAGAGCATCCCTGGCATGAGGACAGCCAGGGAACATTCACAGAGTCAGGAGATGATGGAACGTTGTGTTCTAGGAGCAGCCAGGAGGCTGAACAAAGTAATCAATCCGCAAGCGTGAGTGGGGTCTGCCTTGTGCCAGACACCCTACTAGGTACTGAGGATACAAAGACAAAAAGAAACCAATGTCTGCCTCTGGGACCTTGCATTCCTTGGCAGGCTGGAGGGGAGCAGGAGGAGGACCACACATAGGGGTGGAATGAGCCATAGGCAATGGTCAAAAATAGTAGTTTCAGAACAGCTAGATGGTGCAGTAGATAGAGCACCAGCTCTGGAGTCAGGAAGACCTGAGTTCAAAGTGAACCTCAGATCCGTACTAGCTGAGTGACTCTGGGCTTAACCCTGATTGTCAAGGAAGGAAAGGAAGAAAGAAATGGAGGAAGAAAGAAAGAAATAGAAATAAAGGAAGAAAGAAAGAGAAAGGAAGGGTGGAAGAAAGAAAGATGGGGAAAAAAAGAAAGAACTAGTTCTAGGTGCAGCAGGTTGCATGTTGTAAGTTCTGATTAAAGACTGATTGAGTGGTTCTAAACCACCACACTCTTGAGATCTCAACAGAACCGAGTTGGCTGCCTAAAACTCTAAAAGTTCCTCCCCTTCCCAGGGTTTGCCCATCTGGTCAGTGAAAGACAAGAAAACGAGTAGTCCTCTCCTAATTGAGGAGCATGTCTGACCCTGGAAGCTTTTCCCTTGAAGACAGAGATGTTTTGTAGCCTGGAGTCTCACTGGAGGGACACTTAGCTTTAGGATCCACTCTCTTGCCAATGGATGACTCTGTAAGAGCCACGTGTGGGAAGAAACATCCATGATCATGCATTTCTGAATTGAAGTCAGTTTTTTAGTGATGATTGCAAAGGGTGAATGGACTATTTCAAATTTGTTAAAACTATACAGAAAATGGAGAGGACTCAGATAGTTTGAGAGTTTAAATGGCTTAAGGTCTATGTTCACTTTTACTAGTGGACGTAGAGCCAGGAAGACCTGGCTTTGAATACCATCTCAGATACATGTCAGCTGTGTGATCCTGGGCACATCACTTAAATTCCCTGAGCCTCAGTTTCTTCATTTGTAAGACGAAGGTATTGAACTTGATGGCCTACTAAGGTTATGCTCTTAGTTTTAGATCCTAGATTAAGACCTTCAAGGTCATCTAGGTTCTCACTGAAGAAACTGAGGCCCAGAGAAATCAAGTTTTGTTGTTGTTTAGTTATTTTCAGTCATGTCTGACTCTTTATGACTTCCTTTTGGGGTTTTCTTGGCAGAAATACTGGAATGGTTTGCCATTTCCTTCTCCAGCTTATTGTACAGATGAGGAAACTGAGGCAAATAGGGTTAAGTGACTTACTCAGGGTCACACAGCTAGTATCTGAGGCCAGATCTGAATTCAAGTCTTTTTGACTCCTGGCCCTGCATTCTATCGATTGCACCACCTAGCTGCCCCAAGAAATTAAGTTACCGACTTACTGATAGTGAATGCCTTTGTGTCCTACATATGGTCCAAGTTCCTTTTCAACATGATATGGACTTCCTTGAGTCCCAAAGTTCACCATTTGTCTTTTGGGGCATTAAATTCAAAAGATCCTTTTTTAATACAACGTTAAAAAAAATGGACTGTCCATTGGAAGCATTTGTTTGTGAGCAGTTTCTGGAACACAGGGAATATATTCAGACCATTGAAAGTGGCCTTTTCAATTCTAAAAAGGCCTATTAATAGCAAGCTGACAAGCATGAGTTTCCCCCCCACACCTTTACCCACTTATTAGAGTTTCATTCACATAGTAGAGTGATTATGGTCTAGATTAGTTAGACTCACTGTAAAAGATACAGAAGAAATGCCTTTCACCTATATATTACAAATTCTTTAAGATTTATCATCTTTTGCTCTTAATAAGTTATTATCAGAAACCAAGAGGTTCCTAGGATGTATTGGTCATTACCCATCTTCATGACCATCTTTATTTTAAAATGTTTATCGACTGCCAGATTGTCTCCAGGATAACAGGGTGAACAAAAGCAATCGCTGATTAATTCTTAATTAATAATTATGTCATCACTGTGATGATATCACTATGTTTAAGATTCAGGCCTCTCAGGAATGCATTACATCAAAGATAGTCATCAGCAAAGTGAAGCTATATATATATATATATATATATATATATCAAATGATGGCAGAGTAAAGCACTTCGCACAGTGTCTGGCCCATGGTAAGCAGTATATAAATGTTGCTGTTGTTACTATATTTCTATGCAGATCCTTAAATTTGCCTCATTTGGGAATAAAGCAGAGGTTCTTCTTAGATTCATGCTTATACAACACCTTCACCCTGCCCCAACTCCCACTATAGATTTCAGGCTGCTGGGGTTTTTAAGAGGTTCTAACGGAATATGGGGTTAGGCAGCTCTACAAGAGGCCTAGGACAATTCTCAAAAGGAGAAAGATGAGGCTATTGCTTTTCATAGGGTGGCTAGGTGGCACTGCAGTGCATAGACGGTCGGGCCTGCAGTAAGTGTGACTCATCTTCCTGAGTTCAAATCTAGCCTCAGGCACTTCCTAGCTATATGACCCTGGGCAAGTCATTTAACCCTGTTTGCCTCAGTTTCCTCATCTGTAAAATGAGCTGGAGAAGGAAATGACAAACCACTCCATTCTCTTTGCCAACCGAACCCCAAATGGAGCCACGAAGAATTGAATGTGACTTAAATCTCTGAACAACACAAATTGTTTGTCATTAACAAACAATATGCATGACTTCATGTTTTACTTGACGGCCAAGTGTATAAAGCAAGAGACCTCCGGTCGGTGATTCAATCTTCACTCCTTTTTTATGCATTAAATAATAATAATGATGAACTAATATTTATAAAGATGCAGCTGGGTGACAGTGGATGGCACCCTGGATCTGGAATCGGGAACACCTTAATTCAAATACAGCCTCAGCAGTGGTATGACCCTGGGCAAGTCTCTTAACCATTGTCTATCTTTGCTTATGGGATAATAATCCATACCTTCTAGGGTTCTTATGAAAATCAAATGAGTTAATACTTGTAAAGCGCTTTGTAAATCTTGAAGTGCTATATATTATATCTATTATTGTATAATTTTTCATTTAATATTATATCATATGATATAATATCATACTTGTTATTTGATATATTATATATTATCTCTATTGTTATCTATATCTATATATTACCTCTATTATTATATATAATAGACATCTATTATATACTATATATAATATGTTATGTAATATGTTATGTCTATTATATATTATGTACCATACCTGTTGTTAGATAAAATATTATATCTATTATACAGTGTATCTATTATTATATATATTGTATCTATTATTATATTGCATATTATATCTATTGTTATATAATATACACCATACCTATTATTAGATATATTCTATATTATATTGATTGTTATGTAGCCCTTTAAAGTTTGCAAAGTGCTTTACAAATATTAACTCATTTGATCGAGGTAGGTGCTATAATTCTCCCCATTTTACAGATGAGGAAACTGAGACAGACAGCATCACATGGCTAGTGTCCTAGGCAGGATTCTCACCTAGGTCTGTTGGACTCCAGGTCCAGCACTTCAGCCGCTAGTCCATGTTTTCTTGTGTATTTATTACTCTTAGAAAAAAAGGATAAATCAGCATATTTACCTCACAGGATCATAGACATAGATAGGACTAGAATAGACCTTAGACGGAGCTCATTTGGTCCAACATTAGCTCTTTTTACAAATGGGGAAACTGAGACCCAAAGATGTTAAGTGACTTGCCCAAAGTAATAGATGGGAGAGCCAGGATTGGAATATATGATCTCCAATTCTGAATCCAGAGTTTTCCCCCGAACTTCACCACATCTATTTAAGTCAGGTAGAGAAAACCCAGAAAACATTATACATTTCTTGATCAATGACATCGCAGGTGTGTCTTTCAGACAGGTTACTGGAAGTCAGCTGGTTTGAGTTTTTTTGACTGTTTTTTTTTTAAATACTATACAGAATTACCAAGTGGGCAGGGTCTCCAGAGGCCAGCTAGCCCAACTATTATCTGAACAAAAATCTCTTCTATAATACAACTGGCAAGGGGCGGCTAGGTGGCACAGTGGATAGAGCACTGGCCCTGAAATCAGAAAGACCTGAGTTCAAATTTGAGTTCAAATCTGAGTTCAAACATATAGATATATATATATAACCGGCAAATGGTCATCCACTTTTTTTTTTTTTTTTTTTACAATTGGGGTTAAGTACTTGCCCAGGGTCACACAGCTAGTAAATGTCAAGTGTTTGAGGCCAGATTTGAACTCAGGCCCTCTTGAGTACAGGGCTGGTACTCTGCCCCAAGTCATCTACTTCTGGTGAAGGGTTTTCTATTAATAAGCAGCCTTAATATATCACTTTGAGATTTATAAAGTACTTTACATATATAATCTCATTTAATCCTCATAAAAACTCTTAGGAAGTAGGTGTTATTATTATCCCCATTTTACAGGTGAGGAAACTGAGGTTGTAACTTGCCCGGGTGCCACAGCTAGTAAATGCCTAACTTAGAATTTGAATTCAGGTCTCCATCCACTCTATCTACTGCACCACCTATTTGTACCTTCTGAGGCAGCCCATTTCATTCTAATTATTTGGAAGTTCTTCTTAACATCCGATCGAAATCTGTTTCCAACTTTTACCCTTTCCAGGTTCCATAGTAACAACTATTATGTTTTAAGGCTATATGAAGGCTGTTTATGTTTAGTTGTGTTCAAGTAAGGCTTCATCAGGGAGGAATGGCAGTGAAATTCGAATGGCTAAATCTTTTTGCTGTTCCGTGACAGGACCTTTCATTGGCTTGTTCATTAACACATGTGGCTGCCGCAAGACTGCCATCATTGGAGGGATGCTGAATGCCCTGGGCTGGGTCCTGAGTGCCTATGCCACCAACGTGCATTATCTCTTTATCACATTCGGAGTGGCGGCCGGTAAGAAATGGATCTTCAGTATTTTCATTGTGCCTTTCAGCAAAGGGATTTATTGTGGAGGAGAAAACATCCAGCTAAATCATCATCCTCCCTGTTCTCCCGTCCTTTGTATGAGCAAGAAATGCAGCGAGTGTGATAGGGAAGAAAGTCTGTCTTCTCTTTGCTTGGTACATGGGCAAGACTCCTGGGGAGGTTTCAGTTGAAGCTTGGTGGTGACTGTTCCTGTCAAGCCTTCCGCATAAGAGATGGATTGTCTCAAAGTATGTTTCCCTCCCTACTACTCACCTCCTCACTTCCAGAAAATCCCTTAGCTCAAAAAGCTCCTCCATAGGGTCTTTCCTGATTTTCTCAGCTGCACTAGCGCCCCCCCATTACCTTAACATTTATTTTGTATTACTTACTTTTAATATATTCATATATATGTATATATATATGTATGTGTGTATATGTATGTATGTGTGTGTGTGTGTGTGTGTGTATGAAATAGAGAGAGAGAGAGAGAGTCTTCCTGTATAGACTGTAAGTTCCTTGAGGGCAGGAACAGTTTCATCTACATCTTTGCATCTCCAACACATCCTAAAAGTGGACAGTCATGGCATGTAGCCTGGCACATAGTAGGCACTTAACAAATGTTTATTGATTGATTCATAGGTGCTTAATAGATGCTTGTTGAATCATTGATTATTCACATTTTAGGGGTGAATTAACTCAAGTTACAAAATTACAATAAATACAAGTTACAAAATACAATAAATTATTTCTTTGGTATTCAGATATAATAGCTTTAGGCCTGGGAGGGACCTCAGAGACCCGTCCAGTCTAAGACCTTCATTTTCGGGTAAGAAAACTGAACTGACTCACCCAGGATCACAGAGTTTAATAATGGAGGTGGAATTTGAACCTACGTCCTCTGGCTCCTGACCCAATGCTTCCCCCCCCACCCCCCCCCCCCCCCCCCCCCCCCCCCCCCCCC